GGTCAAGGTCATTCATTTGAACAAACTTGGTAGCCCTTCATCCCAGCATGCTACAGGCCAAATATCAGTACCCTGGGCCATTTGGTTATTGAGAAGAAGTTGTTTGAAGATTTTAACATATTTGACCCCTGTGACCTTGAAAGTGGGTCAAGGTCATTTATTTGAACAAACTTGGTAGCCCTTCATCCCAGCATGCTACTGGCCAAATATCATTTTCATAGGCCTTTTGGTAATTGAGAAGAAGTTGTTTAAAGCAAAAAGTTGACGCCGGACAGACGGACGCCGGACGGACGGACGGACGGACGATGGATGCCGCACCATAACATAAGTTCACTTGCCCTTCGGGCAGGTGAGCTAAAAATGAATGAAAATATTTAGAACGACTTTCTGGGAACCCAAAGAACAGTTGGCTGTAATCACAGTTCGTGTCAGGCTGGGTGTGCAAATCTTTATCATCAACTATTTGGAAGGTTTGCAATGTCAATTCAGGTTTTAGAAATGCATTCCATGACAATAATGAGTATAAAATGTATATATATGGATATATATTTGGTTTCTGTTTATGGTTAGACAGAAAAAACTTGTTATTCAGAATCTGAAAAAAATGCAAGTTTGGTACTAAAGTGTATATATATTAAATAATCTCGGTGCAGTTTCCCTGCACATACAATAACTTCTGTGTGGAGGGGCTCCTGGGTGATATGATAAGTATCCAAAACTAAAATTGTCGCTGTCTACACTGTTGACGTATCTCCTTATGAAGTGTAGAGTATAAAGCAGCTTTATAAACGTCGTTCAGTTGCTGCACACATGTAAATATAATGTACAAAGAAGATGCATCCAGTACATTTCCACCATTAGGTCAATAATTGTACCTTAGTTTTGAATTAATTTTTCAGTGCTCTCTCCTTACCCTTTCATTTTGAGGGCTTGGTCTAACTCATGAAATATAAATATTCAAAAACACAGTTCTAAAGAATATAGATTGAAAACTTTGAACCATGGTATGGAATAACATTTAACTTAAATGTGTTTTAAGCTTGTGTATTGGGTCTTGCTCATTCGAAATGTATACTATTACTAGAGATAAGTGAAAGTCAGGTGAGGTTTTCAGATCCATGGACCTACGCTGTTCTTAAATCGTGCTATAGAATAAAATTAAACAAAAGAGCAAGCATTGCAGAAATCTATGTTCTTCAGTCTCCCTCATCAAACATACATCACAGTCTTATTAGAGGACCAGTAATCGTTACGAGACGAATGTGACTGATATCACCAAGCAGCTTTGACCTGTGTGTATCATGTTGTTGATTGTTTCACAGCTACTACAACCTACAGACTGGGGAGTCCAGGGTGGAGCGGTACAAAAGCGCTGAGCCTGCCCACGTAGACTACATAAAGATTCTGGGCAATGACCTAGGTACCAGCGAGCTCAATAAAGTCTGCATTGGGCTTCGGATCAAGGTTTGTCACTGAATGTTGTGTCTCACGTCTTAACGTAAAGGTACAATCAAATATACTTAACATGAACCTGTCCAGGATGCAACGCAAGACCTTCAAGGAACATAGTATACAGGTGTAAGAGATATGTATTAGATAAGCTTGACATATATTAAAAGAATTTGTATTAGATAATCTGTTTAAAGGGATAATATTTTACTTTTCTAAGATCATATTTAAACAGAGTAATGTTGTGCTGTAGATCTGTCAAATAGCAAATAGTAGTAGTTTGAGTAGTCTGGTAAGTGAGGTAGATACTGTCACCTTGTTATTTGCAAAAACAACACAATTTGTTGTACCAAGTCCAATCTTCCCTCCAATTTTGCCCTATCAAACAATCGTCTTTCTTTATAATACAAGTCAGGTTCAGGATTTAAACACCAAATTATGACTTTTTATTATGACTTTCAGAAAGTTATAACACATGCTTCAAATCTTCATCTGTCAAATTGAATAATTGAATAAAACTTACTAAGTGGAGAACTTCCGTCATGATAATGTAGTTTATTGTGCAATTCAGATATGAAAGAAATGTTTAAGATGTTTAAGATGTTGAAAGTGTATTTAGAATTCTGGTAGGTTTTTCAATTATTTCGTTAATATACCTTACTATAGGATTAGGTCTTCCTTCAGAGTACTAAATTTGTAAGATTTTCAGAACTTTACTCAAATCTGTATTACCTTGTCACCTAAATTGGTCATGCTGGTTTGTTGGTGCTCACGTTTATTAATATATTTGATAATCAGAGTATTTGGTAAACCTTACCATATTTTTGATCTAACAGAGAAATCCAATCATAGGAGACAAATTTGCCAGTCGACACGGCCAGAAAGGAATTTGTAGGTAAGTGTTGTCTACAATGTAACCATTTAGGTTTAAAATCTTTTTATATCATTTTCTTTGAGTTTGTCGCTGTATGTACCGGTCATGTATGGGTCTGGTATCTGACCATGCTACTGTCTGTACGGTTTGTGTTCCAGCTATTGATGTCAGAACCAAAATTCATTGTCAAATCGTAGCTTCTTTCAGGTTCTGGACTTTTCTTATTTTAAGCATTATACCATAGATAGTTTTGTCATATATTCAGATCAGTTGTTCTCAAACAGAGTTATCACTTCGTAACCTGACAGACATAGAAAACTATTCCTTATATTTACTATTTTTTAAACATAAGCCTGATCAACAGATAAAAATTTCATTTCCAACATTTATAAATGTGTGATCAGTTAAATAAAAGTAAAAGCCAGAAATTTGCATTAGGCTTAGTCAGTTTCGCTTACATCCACAGCTGATGAGGTTACCCAATTGTTTGTATCGTTCGCAGAAAATTTGCATACCTCTGCTCACCTGTATTGTTGTTGTCAATGTCATGGAAACTCCAAGTGGTCTATGGTAAGGTTGTGAAATACCTCCAGCTTATAGGAACAATGGCTATTAATATTGAGTGTAAACTGTAAAAACTTTGTTTGACTTTTCAGTATGCTGTGGCCGGTGGAGAATATGCCTTTTACAGAGAGCGGGATGACGCCAGACATCCTGTTCAACCCGCACGGCTTCCCATCCAGAATGACCATAGGTCAGCTTGTATATTACATTGATCCCAGAACTTTGTTTGGAGTTATGTGAAATATGTTACATAATTATGACCTTGAATTTCATACAAAAATGACATAGTTCAATCATTTTCTAATTGAGAAGATCTATCTCTTGGTTGAATATTATATATATATATGTAACACATTTAATTTACGAGATGGAATAAACATGAACCGACAGGAAAATTTTAAGTGTACACAAATTTGCTGAGTTTGAACACGCAAATCCCAACCCTTATTTGCTGGTTTTTCCAGGTATGATGATAGAGAGTATGGCGGGTAAGTCCGCGGCCAGTCATGGCCTTTGTCATGATGCTACACCGTTCAAGTTTTCTGAAGACCAGCCAGCGATCGATTACTTCGGAGATATCCTCACTAAAGGTACAAACCCTGGACATTCTGAAAGTCAAACCCCCCAAAAAGATAATAAAACTGAAGTAAAGAGCCGTTATATAGTTAACAAGTCCCATAATATCAAAATAATGCTGTATAATACAGCAGTCTTTGTAATTACATTAGAACTTCTATTTATATATACTGTTGTAGTCAATAGTTACCGCTGTAGCTATATTTCTGTAACAAAGATTCTGTTAACTGCCAAATACTAATTTTCCCTATTTACTGACAGCTGGCTATAACTATTATGGGACAGAGCGTATGTACAGCGGGTCAAGTGGACTGGAGTTAGAAGCCGACATCTTCATAGGAGTGGTGTACTACCAGCGTCTACGTCACATGGTTTCTGACAAGTTCCAGGTACGGTAACTGTAACACAGAAAAACAAATGGTTGAAATGAGACATCATGTAAATAAGTAATGAAATAGAGACACCAGTTTTGTGACTTTTTGACGGGCGGGTAATTTTCTTCAAAACCTGAGCATCCTTAACCTTGTATAACTTTGTAGTTGACACCACCTAAAGGCATGGTCAGTCATTGGACTTGTTTGTATATATATGTCACTTGATTTCAGGTGAGATCTACAGGTCCTGTTGACCAGTTGACCCACCAACCAGTGAAGGGCAGGAAGCGTGGTGGAGGGATCAGATTTGGGGAGATGGAGAGAGATGGAATGATCGCTCATGGCACAGCGTTTCTCTTACAGGACCGCCTCCTTAACTGTTCTGATAAATCTATGGTGAGTAGAAATATGACATTGTTAAATAAGAGGAAGCTATGGGTTCTGATGGTCATTAATAAACTTGTCAAATAGCTGTAGGTACTGTAGCCTTTCTGTAAGACACCTGTCTAAGTGGTGACTATATGTTGTCCAAGTGAGGGGCAGCATTCACAATCATGTCAGGAAGAAGTTTCTCTGTCCACACCCTAGGATAAAGGAAAGCTGCCTGTGTTGTCATAAATAATGGTGTGAAAACAATTGATATGAGGTCAAGTAAACAATAGTAGATAGAAAGAAATGTATTAGACAAAATTAGCACTTGTATTTTAGGGGGAAGAAAAACACAAAAAATCTATTTCTAAATTCAAGGAATGTTAATACATATGATTTTCAGAGATGTTTATTGTATCTTGCAGTCAGATTTAGTTGCACTTCAATACATTTACAATGCTGTACTATGAAATAATGTGTTGCATAGGTATTTTATTTTCTGAACAAAATTGTCTGTTGCAGGTCCATGTTTGTACAAAGTGTGGTAGTATGTTATCTCCCCTGTTGGAGCGGCCGGTGACGGCAGTGGCGGCGGTCACCTCGGAAATGAGGCGTAAATGGACATGTATGTTGTGTAAACGCTCGGACACTATCAACATTATCACCGTGCCTTTTGTGTTCCGATACTTAGTGGCAGAACTGGCGGCCACTAACATCAAAGTACAGCTGGAGGTTAAATGAAACTGTAAAGGTCAATTAAAGGTCGTGTTACTTTGCTGATGACCATGTCAATGTCGTTTTCAGTTGTGCAATAGTACAGTGGTCAACAATGGTCTACTGCATGGTTATGATACGATAAATATTAAAACTATTGGCTGTATCAATTCCAGCAGTCAAAACAGATAATGTCATGGTCATACCTGTCAGTAGATTCCATCTAGGTCATACCTGTCGAAAGATTTAATCTAGGTCATACCTGTCGAAAGATTCAATCTAGGTCATACCAGTCAGTAGATTCAATCGAGGTCATACCAGTCAGTAGATTCAATCTATGTCATACCGGTCAGTAGATTCAATCTAGGTCATACCTGTCAGTAGATTCAATCTAGGTCATACCTGTCGAAAGATTCAATCTAGGTCATACCAGTAAGTAGATTCAACTGAGGTCATACCAGTCTGTAGATTCAATCTAGGTCATACCAGTCAGTAGATTCAATTGAGGTCATACCGGTCAGTAGATTCAATTGAGGTCATACCAGTCAGTAGATTCAATTGAGGTCATACCAGTCTGTAGATTCAATCTAGGTCATACCAGTGTAGATTCAATCGAGGTCATACCAGTCAGTAGATTCAATTGAGGTCATACCAGTCTGTAGATTCAATCGAGGTCATACCAGTCAGTAGATTCAATTGAGGTCATACCAGTCTGTAGATTCAATCGAGGTCATACCAGTCAGTAGATTCAATTGAGGTCATACCAGTCTGTAGATTCAATCGAGGTCATACCAGTCAGTAGATTCAATTGAGGTCATACCAGTCTGTAGATTCAATCGAGGTCATACCAGTCAGTAGATTCAATTGAGGTCATACCAGTCTGTAGATTCAATCGAGGTCATACCAGTCAGTAGATTCAATTGAGGTCATACCAGTCTGTAGATTCAATCGAGGTCATACCAGTCAGTAGATTCAATTGAGGTCATACCAGTCTGTAGATTCAATCGAGGTCATACCAGTCAGTAGATTCAATTGAGGTCATACCAGTCTGTAGATTCAATCGAGGTCATACCAGTCAGTAGATTCAATTGAGGTCATACCAGTCTGTAGATTCAATCGAGGTCATACCAGTCAGTAGATTCAATTGAGGTCATACCAGTCTGTAGATTCAATCGAGGTCATACCAGTCAGTAGATTCAATTGAGGTCATACCAGTCTGTAGATTCAATCGAGGTCATACCAGTCAGTAGATTCAATTGAGGTCATACCAGTCTGTAGATTCAATCGAGGTCATACCAGTCAGTAGATTCAATTGAGGTCATACCAGTCTGTAGATTCAATCGAGGTCATACCAGTCAGTAGATTCAATTGAGGTCATACCAGTCTGTAGATTCAATCGAGGTCATACCAGTCAGTAGATTCAATTGAGGTCATACCAGTCTGTAGATTCAATCGAGGTCATACCAGTCAGTAGATTCAATTGAGGTCATACCAGTCTGTAGATTCAATCGAGGTCATACCAGTCAGTAGATTCAATTGAGGTCATACCAGTCTGTAGATTCAATCGAGGTCATACCAGTCAGTAGATTCAATTGAGGTCATACCAGTCTGTAGATTCAATCGAGGTCATACCAGTCAGTAGATTCAATTGAGGTCATACCAGTCTGTAGATTCAATCGAGGTCATACCAGTCAGTAGATTCAATTGAGGTCATACCAGTCTGTAGATTCAATCGAGGTCATACCAGTCAGTAGATTCAATTGAGGTCATACCAGTCTGTAGATTCAATCGAGGTCATACCAGTCAGTAGATTCAATTGAGGTCATACCAGTCTGTAGATTCAATCGAGGTCATACCAGTCAGTAGATTCAATTGAGGTCATACCAGTCTGTAGATTCAATCGAGGTCATACCAGTCAGTAGATTCAATTGAGGTCATACCAGTCAGTAGATTCAATTGAGGTCATACCAGTCTGTAGATTCAATTGAGGTCATACCAGTCAGTAGATTCAATTGAGGTCATACCAGTCTGTAGATTCAATCGTGGTCATACCAGTCAGTAGATTCAATCGAGGTCATACCAGTCTGTAGTTTCAATCGAGGTCATACCAGTCAGTAGATTCAATCTATGTCACACTGATCAGAAAATTCCTAGTAAGACTTTTCAGAGATCATACTGATCACAGAAGTCAATGTGAATCTGATGGTACATCATGCTGTATCTGTAATTGAATGTTCAATGAATAATAAAATCTTCCCCTACTTTGAGGGTGTGACAGAGAAATCACCAACCCAAAGGATAATATTCCTGATTGTCTTACCCTAGGCTTTAGGTAAGGCAATCAAGAATACGGTATCATCCTGAAGGTTTGAGATTTCTCTGTCACAGCCTCAAATCAGTCATCTGATTTTTCTCCCATCCTGTTTCACTCACAAATCCGCCGAAAGCGGTGATTGCATGAAATATAAGTGCTGATTGCATGTTTTTCCAGCATATCCAGAGTTGTATTACATGATTAACTACTGTTGACGTGACGTCAATGTATTAGTTTGTCCGCTCCTTACATTTCTATTGATCCTCGGCCTGTTCAGCTTGTAAATGTAGAATGTCTAAAACATGGAGCCTGCTGGAAATGTAGACATTCATTTAAGGAGTGTCTGTACTGTATAATTACAAGCATGTTTCAGATAATGCAAATGCTGTTATCAAAGCTGTTATGTTTGATAAGAAATTGTTAATTAAATATGTTACAAAAAAGTTTAAGATGTTAATATTTATAATATTTCTCAAATTAAGTCAAATGTTGCATTCCCATTCAATTCAGTTTCATATCTCTTCTGTATGGAGGGTGACATTGTGTTCAAATGTCAACTTTCCCTCTCTGGGAGGGATTGTCCCTCTGGTCCCTCTGGTCCCCTTAACTTATAAATCTGTCTGGATTCGTCCTCCTGATTTGAGGAAATAGTCCCTCTTAGTGCATACTTCCCACTTAACACATTGATTAGTGGTGAAATAAGTACCAAAGGGTGCCACTGTTGGAATAAAGATAACAAGTAGTATATAGGAATGCAAAACATTCACTGATATCCCTGATTCTGTTATACTTTGGAGAGGTATGGAGCTTCACAAATATACTTCTACCATTGAAAAAAATACCTACTCAATTTTGCAAGAAAAATTAAAATAATCAAAAGAGCACAGCAAGTTTCCTGGTTTACTTTAAAACAGGTCAGTTTCCTTTGAATGTAGAAATTAAAACCAGAGTTGTGAATGTTTTGACATAAACGTATCACTAAGCTATCTAGTTTAATATATAAAGTGAATGTTACAGCTACAAGAACAAGAGGCCCACAGGGCTTGTATCGCTCATCAGGATAATTTAGCAACCAATGGCAAATATTCTTATTAAATACGATACTGCAACTATTTCCAAATAATGGCTCTGTCTCTCAGCAACCACTCATTGGGTCCCTTCTTTCTGCTCTTTTAAATTGAGATGGAGATGTACTTTAACTATTACCTCGATTTCCCCTTTTGGGTCTGCTCCTCTGCCCCGAAAGATCAACTGTAGGATGTTGTACACAAAATTTGGTTATAATCCCTCAAATTGAACTGAGGGTGGATATTTAAACATCAACCTATAGTTCTGATATTGGGCCCGCACCTCTGTCCCCTTTGCTCAAGGATCCTATACAAAAAATTTGGTTAAAATTCCTCCAATCAAACTACAGGTGAAGGATTTTAAACATTTAATACTATGTTCCCCCTTTTTGGGACTGCCCCTCTGTGAAACCTCTCTTATTATACTGAAGCAGGACTTTAAATATTCATTACAATGGGCCTCCGATATGAACTCATCCATATATACAAACTTCAGTCCCTTTTGCCCAAGGATGCTCTTAACAAAATTTGGTAAATCCTTCAATCGTACTAAAGGAGAAGGATTTGAAAGATACTATTCGGCCCCTCGGAGGCGGGGGGACATTATACTGACAACGGGTGAACCAGTTGTTGCTATTCCCCTAAATGCTGAACGTTAAGTAGGGAAAAACAACTTCCATTTTTAAGGACTTATGTATGTCTCGGCCTGGGGGCAGAACCCATTGCCTTCCTCACCTGGGCGAACGCTCAACATTAAAGCCAAAAGTGAGGTGTTGCCAAGCAAGGCGCTAGGAAATAAAAGGTAGTTAGAAGTAGAAAGAAAAATATAGATCCCAAATATTGCTATGGGTGCAACAGATTTATTTTGGTCGCTCTTGTGTCCCCAAATAGAGTGACACCAAAGCAAATCCCAAATTCTGCAGGGGTTACCCACATTAGTCGCCTCCTACGATCAATGTAGGTGTATTCTTTTCCCGATCCCCTAACCTGCAGGGGTGGCTTTGACAAAATTCAGTTAAAACTTCTCCAATCATACTAAAGGAGAAGGATTTTAAGGATCTACCATAATGGTCTCGCTTACCAAGGGATACTCTGGACCAAATTTGGCTAAAATGTCTCCAATTAAACAGAAGGAGAAGGATTCAAAAGATTAACTTCAAGGTCCCCTACATGTATTAGGCCTCGCCCTCTGCCCAAAGAGACTGGGTCCCCCTTTCCCATGGATGCTCTGGATAAAATCCCTTCAATAAAACTAAATTGGAAGGATTTTAAAGATTTACCTCGATTTCTCCTATTGAGCCGTGCCGCTAGGTTGGGGTGAGCTGAAAAGACAACACAGATTATAAATGTATCAGTTTTGTATAGCCGTCGTTAGTTAAGTTGTTATTCACGTTCTGTTATGCGGTGGTGCCAGGTTCTGGTGGTGGAAGGAAGCTGGAATACCAGGAGAAAAACCACTGACCTGTTGCCAGTACCTGGCGACTGCCCCATGAAGGTCTCGAACCCGCGTCACAGTGGTGTAAGGGCGGACGTTTTAGGATAAAATGCATAAACTACTTAAGTGCAAAAGATTTACACTTAAGTGAAAAAAACTGGACATAATGGCCAAAAATCACATAATGGCAAAAACTTTTTCATTTAAGTGCAAAAAGCACATAATGGAACAAAACTGTTTTTTTGTCATTATGTACATTTTATACAGTCATGTTTTTACATTATGTACCTTCGCACTTAAGTACAAAAGATTTCCTCTTATCCCTCTTGTCACAATGGATGGTTCCGTTTACCGATGTATTGTGCATGCCCCAGATGTTAAAGTTGCGCCGGAGGTTGAGGTGATTCCGGTAGGTTTGACGTTTTCGCGAATGTAGCTGCAATTATCATTGGAGTTGTCATGTAGGAAAATTTGCACAAGCTTTAAAAGGCAAACATGTTGCGTGGGTTCACGACAGGATACGATGGACGACAGCGTATTAATTGGCAAACTACACAAACTCACGAGGGCCACGATGCGGCGTAGGCCTGAATCCTCGTCATAATGATATAATTACACTTAAGTGAAAAAAAGACGTTTATGGACTTACGTACAAAAAATCTTCACATAATGGCAAAAAGCATTTTTTACATTATGTATTAAGTATTAGAAACCCTTTTCACCAAAGTGAAAAGAAATCATTTGTGTAGTAAAAACACACATAATGGAAATAAATCTTTTGCACTTAAGTGCAAAATCCCACAATGAAAATAAATCTTTTGCACTAGAGTTAAACAAAAAATGGAAATAAATCTTTTGCACTTAAGTTTCAAAAAACATGATGGAAATAAATCTTTTGCACTTGAGTGAAAAAACACATAACGGAAATAAATGATTTGCACCTAAGTGAAAAAACACACATAATGGAAATAATCTTTTGTACTTGACTGAAAAAACACGCATAATGGAAATAAATATTTTGCACTTACGTAAAAAACAAAATGGAAATAAATATTTTCATCACATTCAAAATACTTTTAAAGAAATGTTCGATTGGTTAGAACAGCGTACTTGTTTCAGTGCATTGTCGAATTTATGAATTGGTGCACCAAAACCCATGTAGTAAAATAGTAGTTACTTATTGGCGCTTTCGGTAATTGAACGCATATCCTTTCGGCTTAAAATGTGCTAAAATCAAGGTTGTCGCTGAAAAAGGTACCTCTGCAGTAGAGGCTATTTAAATGATGTTGTTTTTAATTAGCTCTGAATTACCAGTCGCTTATCTTAGGGCTGAGATGCCCAGGGTTCTGTCCTGGGTCAATTTTCATTTCCTATGCTTATCATCAAGGAGGTATGCAAATGATACGTCACTTCCTACTCTTCGATTAAAAACATTGAAATTGAAAATTCTATTAACCATGATTGGCTATTATTTGTCAAAAGACTTCAACCCTAATAACAACCCTAATAACACAGAAGTATTAATACTTATTGGTTCGTTACTAGAAATTCGTGTAAATTTGCAATTTACTGATACACAATTGTAAAATAATACCACAATAAAACACCTCTAGTAAGTTAAAATGCGAACAGGATATAAAAAAATTCATATTGAAAATATTGCAACATCAGTTTCTAAACACATGTTTGTCTTCATGGCGTATATTTAATACACTAAAGTTTTAAAAAAAAGTCTGTCCCATTCATATATCGTCTTCTACAGACCGTTATTATAATATGTGTAAGCGAAGTGTTGGATGGTTGTAACAGAAACTATTTAGAAGAAAAAAACCCATAAAAAGTTACAAATAAAAGCAGCAAGAATAATTTCAGGTCTTTCTTCCTTTGCAAGCAGTCTTGATACATTCACACTAAAACTGGATAGAAAAAATGAGGTCGAAGATTAAAGAAAATATATAAGATGAAATTGATTTTATAAAATGTGCTCCGTCCTGTCTAAATTTATTTGAAAAGTCGTTTCTCTATTGTTAAAATGTGGAGTCGTTATAAGCAGCTCTGTCAGAAATATAATAGTGAAACGTTATCAACTTAAAAAATATATGAAAAAGGATAGTAAACGCTCGGCGGGTCTACTGTACAAATCTTGCAATAATACATGGACGTACATAGCACCTTAAATTCGCGTAACTTTTAGCCAATTCAGTCATTTCTCCGGTATTATCAATATGCAAGTGTTTGAAATCAATAGAAATGATAACTTATGTTTAATATACATGTGGAGCATATGACAGCTATGAATCGATAGATCGATACGTCCTTTCTTGTAAGGAATAGTGGAGTTTGTTGCTTTAAAAGGTGGCAAAATATATAAAGTAGCCGGGAATGATGATGATGATGATGATGGGAGTGTTGGTTTGAATGCGATGATCTGAGAATGAGGTAATATGTTTGTTTTGTATATGTAAAATATGCTTGTGAAAAATAAAACCCGTCCTCGTCGAGAATCGAACCCGGATCTCCTAAACATCAGTCCAATGCGTTAACCCCTGAGCCAATCCGTTCGTTGGGGTTCCTTAGGGGGAACTATTCGAACTGGATCATTTGGTATCAATATTATACAAATATTTTTACTTCAAGTATACAGATTTGTTTTATCTACGTGTACATTTACGAATTTTTTGTATATCTAATTATTTTTATTCATATCAGTATTTTTTTTAATGGCAGTTTTTCTTCATTTTCGGACATTCATCCTTATCGAGCCCCTTTCTTTCAACACGGAAGTTGCCTACATTTTCGCAAACGCAAAAACAAACAAGCATACGTCAGGAAAAGGGTGCTGAGTATTGGTGAAAGGGAAAAGACAGAGTGCTTCGTTAAAACGTGTTTGAGGGTGGCGTAAGTCACGAGTTCATATCATACAAGCCGTAAGAATAGTCGCTGTTCGATGACAGAGACGGGGAACAAATAACAGACAAAAGATGGCGACCCATGCGGCGGAACTTCACGACTTGCCGCCGTACACGGCGATGTTGTGGTCCCAATTTCAGGCTTGTCCGCCACTCCTGTACAACTTGTTCGAGTCGACAGTCCGCCCAGGGGATGTGGCTCATCAGTCCGACAAAGTGTTTGACGTGTCGGGATCTTTGATCAGTCACAAACTCAGGTACAGTAGGTGCCTGCTGAATCGGGCATCGCTATATTGGCATTTCCTTTTGTTGTGTTTTCATTGGGGGTTGGTTTATGATGTAATATTTATGTGCCAATAACATTTTACAATTAACATGTCATTATTTCAGTTTATCATGTTGGATTTGACAATTTTGTTGAAAATTAAGAGTTTGTTCAAATGTATCTACTTCAGTTTCTTCAGGAAAACAAATAGTATTTCGATACAATGCATGATGCAAGGGAGGTAATTGTGCATATAAATAAACCATGAGTGATTCACTGCCAGATGTCCTCAACAAATTCTCATTGATCAATGGTCATTACTTTATTTGCTTTAAGTAACCTCCTTTCCTGATACAGCTGTCATACATACATTTGTAGCCCAAGTTTCCTCTGCCCATGACGCTAGCCTGAGTTTCCTCTGGTCCTGACACCAGACCTAGACATTTTGACATATATAGATGTCTAGTGTGGGACACCAGACATCTATCTGTGAGATTGTCTTATTGCATCAATGTCAAAATGTCTAAGTCTGGTGCCAGCGCCAGAGGAAACTCCGGCTTAAGCCATGACATGACGCCAGACCCAGACATTTTGACAGATAAGCTTCGAATTCAGACATTCTCTATCATGCTATATCCTTAACCAACATGCGCCGTCATACATATAAATGTAGCTGTCAAGCGTGACTGTGACAGATGTTATGGCACGATTTCTCACCCCTCCACAATTTCTCACCTGGCACGACGATTACTCACCCCAATTCTCTATCTCAATTGGGGATGGATTTTGTCCGTGGTGTCTTAAAACTTGCCTTAGTGAACATGTAATAAATGCGCTGACATGATATCAAATGAGTAGTTGTTCAATGTACAACATGCCAAATAGTTATTGATTGATTTATCTATCAATCTATCTATTTATTCATTTACTTTTGAAATACGCAACAGGTGTCTTCCAAAATCTTCAGTTTCAATTAGACAATGAAAAATCCCACTGTTGCCCGATTCATACAATGCACGTGCGCGCACCTTCTTAAACACATTCAGACGCAATCCCATACCAAATCTATAACATCGGTAAATATCTAAATGTTAACCAAACAGGACCCGACCTAACATGGACATATTGTCAAATACAAAAAATCAACGCAGATCGCAGTAGTGTTCGTAGTGACACTGCACACTTTTACATAGCGATGTTGGACAATGCAACAATTTTGACTAATCAGAAGCCAGTCTGCAGCAGCCGTCTTCAAGAACACGATTATACAGAAGAAGAAGTATATTTTAAAGAATTAAACCTCAAATTCCCCTATTGAGCCCCGCAACTCTACAAAACTAAGACCCCTTTACCCAAGGATACTCCAGACCAAATTGCGATAAAATCCCTCAAATGGTACATAAGGAGAAGGATTTTAAAGATATAAACCTCAATTTCCCTTTTGAGACCCGCCCCTCTGCACCCAAAGGGGCCATACATCGTTTATACAAGATCAAGTCCTTTTTGCCCAAGGATGTTCCAGACCAAATTAGAATATAAAAAAACTTATCCCTATGGTAGAAGTAGGGTTTTAAAGGTTTTTCCTCCATTTCCCCTATTGGGGCCCGCCCCTCTCCACCCAGGGGGTCCAAACCAACCACAAAATTGAGTCCCCTTGGCCCTAATCTACTGAGTCGTTCAGGATTAGTAGCATTTTAAAGGAGAAGTTGATGGATGGACAAACGGACGATGGACGAAAGACACAGCGGTATGGCATAAGCTCACCATGGTCCTACTGACCAGGTGAGCTTAAAAATGAAGTTTGAACAAGTTTAAAGTTTGAACAAGTTTAAAGTTTGAACAAGTTTGACGTTTGCGCAGTAGTTTCTAAATGAACAAGCCTATATATACCACAATCCCCCAAAATCAAAATCAGTCTTCGTACTTATGGCAACGGGCAATATGCCTACTCCTAACACGATTTCTCACCTAGGTGAGAAATCGTGTTGCAAACTCGGCAATTTTAGCAAGATTTCTCATCGTGTCGGGGTGAGAAATCATGCCGTAACAGACGATTCCTTACTTGTAGATGAAATGCACTGACTGAAAAGTCACCATATGATACATCTGAGTTTCCATTGGATAAAGTAAAAATGTTTGCCCTAAGAGCTGAGGATGGTAGGGTCTCTGTTAACGTTGCTTGCATGGGTTTCATAGGTAAATAAAATGCATTCTGTTATAGGCCACGGGGTTCTGGTTTTTGATGGTATTTTATGGTGTTTTATATATAATCTAGAAAAAGTCAATCCAGAGCAAAGTATTGCTGTCATTTATTTTCTCTACAGAAATATACAATGTTAAAGCGGCTTCGTCTCTATTAGTGAAATTGTATGTTGAAATGTCATGCCCATGCATGGTTGTACATGTTCATGATCGCTCATCCTTAATTTCAAATTTTGACAAAATGCACAGACCAAAACAAGATAAATTATAAACTGCCAATACATTTATAAAACAACCTCACATAAAGCTGGGAGGTTCTCAAGAATAAGAGACAAAATTTCACAATAGAAATCTTCAAAATTAATTAATCCTTTAATTTCTCCTTGCATTACAGTGAGCTGACAGTGAAAAACATTGAAGAACTTCACCGTCTGACCAACGACCTACTCAATATGCCAATCTTGTTCCACATCAAAGTGGAGCATCAGCGTACAGACAACTACGTGGTGGTCAGAGTACGCAAGAAGTGGAAAGGTAAGTTTCTTAAATGATTATCATTTTTATAATTACCTTGTATAATTTTCATACATCTAGTGCAGGTGTTTAAGATAAAGAAACAACATCTCATGACATGCTATGAAAGGTATTAGTTAACATTAGATATGGGATAAATAATTATCTTTATTCTGATAAAATAAAATAGCTCTCTTTATGTACAAAAAAATAATTTGATTGTAAAAAAAACACCAAAAAAACCACATACTTCATTCAAAAAGGCATTAGAATGACCTTATAAAAAGATAATAATTTTCTTCTAATTCAGCCTTTAATTTCCAGTTATGAAATAATGTGGAAAATTTTCCGGCCATTGATCATCTCCAATGTTACTCGTACGAATTCACAGTTTATGATATGACATCACAAGCACTGGAAGCCAAATCCCAAAGATTTCATATAAATTGTACAGCTATATGGATGCAATTATAGATATAAACTTTGATTGCTTTATGCACCTTTTACTTGGTATAAAGAATGTAACTGAAATATGAAAAAAATGAAAAGTTAGCAATTAAATAAAGTGTTGCACATGCATCCTAAGTTTCTTTGCTGTACCTATTTATTTTTCATTTTGGAACCTGTGTCTCCTTTTTTGAAAAGACTAATTTTGAATGTTCGGTTCTTACAGATGAGTTTGCAGTGTTGGTAAACACACGTCACCCCCAGATTCGGGAGATGATCACTAACAAGCTTACACAGGCCATGCAATATATGCAGGAAGGAAAGAATTTTTGTCTGAAGGTAGAACAAAAAAATCATTTATTTCCTCTACCCTGGATAGATGTATGTATCCACACTTTTACCGGTGTGAGATTTGCCTTTTCTCTTACCCTGGACAGGTGTATCCGCACTTTTACTGGTGTGAGATTTCCTTGTCTCACCCAAGGGTTGAGACGGGAGGATTCCCCTATTCATAACAATGGTATGACGTCACTTCAACAATACAATGACGTCACGTCAACAATCCATCAACGTCAATTTAGCATATAACGTTATCACTCCGTCTATATGATACACAATAGGAGAACAGGGTAAGAGAAAAAGAATCATTCACCCCCTTGTGGGTAAGATAGAGGAATATAAACCCTCGGGGAAAGATTCTTAAGTTGCCAAATACTCTGCAAAGCCTCATGTTTGGCAACTTAAGAATCTCCCCCCTTGGGTTGAGATTCCCCTATCTCGCCCCAAAGGGGGTGAGAGATTCTATTAGTCTCGCCCTACAGTTGAGACGAGGGGAATCACCTATTCATAACAATCATGGTATGACGTCACATCAACAATCCATCAACGTCACTTCAACCCTGAATTTAGCCTGTGATGTTAACATTACATTTTGTATATGATACACAATGGGTGAACAGGGTAAGAGAAAAAGAATCATTCACCCCCTCGAGGGTGAGATAGGGGAATCTCAACCCTCAGGGAAAGAATATTTTACCACTTTGAGGTGGTATTCAGAATCTCAACCCGAGGGTTGAGATTTCCCTTTCTCATCCTGAAAGTGGTGAAAGATTCTATCATTCTTCAATCAGATGTCTTGTATGATTTTTTGAGAGTTATACAAAGTATGACCTTGTTTAATGCCAATTTGTGTCGAGAGAAATTTTGATATTATAAAAGGGTATAAAGATACATCTCAAAGGAGATGTGTAATGGAATTGATAAGGGAAGGAGATATGTTGTTGATAAGCAGGGTTACAAATAGAACAACAGGTAGCATTTTCATATACATGCTCTTATGCAAGTAGCTGTCATCGGATACATCATAAATACATTGTCAACCAATTCCTGATGAAGCCCAGACTGCTTTAGCTTATGAATCCAGCAAACTTTGCCAAATTGTTTCATTCACCCCTAAAGACATATTTGAACTCTTCCAATTCAATGATTGGAATAGTTCAAATATGAAATTTCAGGGGTGAATGAGTGAAACTCAATCCTAACAAATATTTTGCTTTTCCAGTTTGTAAACTATTAAGCAAAAAGTCAAAACTTTTATATATAAAAACAAGAGGCCCATGGGCCTTAACGGTCACCTGAGTCCTACAGTATTTATTTTTGTTGTTGAAATATGTACCAATTTGAGTAAAAAATAGTTAATAACTTTAACTCAAGTTTGTTAGGACCATGAGCTGATCATTCCTAGACTGAGTTTCAGTTAAATTGGCCTATAAGAACTTGTTTTTAAGTTTGAAATAGTTTTTTCAAAATGACGGCCGTGGCGTCCATATTGGATTTCTGATTGACCCGAAAAATAACAACACTTTGTTAGGACCATGAGTTGATCATTCCTACCAAGTTTCAGTTCAATCGGCCCAGCAGAACTAGACTTTCAGTTTGAAAAAGTTTTTCAAAATGGCCATATTGGATTTCTGAACAACCCAAAAAATAACAACACTTAGTCAGGGAGATGTCAGTAACCTTTCCTTGAAATCCCTTTGCCAGTATTTCAGCTGAAGTTGAAAATGTAAAATGTTAATGGACGACGCACGACGACGGACGAAGATGGATAATAGAATAAACATAATTTTTAAAAGATATGTTTTTTGACATAACAATTCTTTCTTCCATATTTCAGTTGGACTTTGGACCTAGTGTGCGACAGTGGTACAGTGGTATCGTGGACAGCCAGGTGACGTTTTGTGACAGTCGATCCAACAATGATTCAGGTCACATGACCCTTTGGGTGACCAATTACTCGACCCCAATGGAATGTTGCACATCCCTCCTCTGTATCTTCATATGCTTTCCTCTCTGGCTTGTGTGTGGTGGGCCTTGTTATGTGGTAAGTACAGTGGTATGCCTAGAGACTAATTAATATAACAACACTGATATTCTCGAAGCATTAAATATCTCAACAACTCTGACTTACCTAAAAACTTCTGGTCTGTTCAAAAAGATATAATAACCATAGCAACTACCACTTTTCAAGTTGACGTTTGTCTTGTAGCTTTTTGTTCGTTTGATGTCATTTCCTTAATATTATTTTTTATCTGACTTTTAAATGGCCCTAATTATCTCTCCTGTATTGATGGGCTGTTAAGAAAACAATAAGTTAGTACCTAGCTTATGTAAACCAAGGAAGACCTGTGTATTCTGTCATCATGCCCAGTCTGACCAATATGTTGTGCCAACAGGATATTGGAATATGAGAGGTGATCGGTTGTCCTGTTAGACAGGTTCACTGTATAGGAAGCTGCTTTATTCTGTTTCAAAATTTCTCACAGTTACATACTTTGAACAATGTTCATGTATTCCGATGCATTCACAATTGATCAAAACCCAAACAAAAAATATAATTGATTCGTATGCAATTTCAAAATAATTCATAAAATTATTGTTTTGTAGACTCACAGAAAAATAAAGTGCATAGATGAAGAACAAGAATTCAATGACTTCCCTGTGACTTTGCTGTCCGGAGTGACCAGAACTGTCACCATTCAGAGGCAAGCACCTGTTCCCCAGGCCCCTCAATACCCATCAGCCCCTCGGAATCAGCCAATGCAACAGTATCCTCCACAGGGTCCGATGGCACAGCCTCCCTACAATCTCCAGGGTCAGCCCCAAGGACCGTACCCGCCAGTGGCGCCTCCAGCCTATCCTGGGCCACCTCCACAGTACACAGCTTGAGGTAGTTTCTGATTCAAACATGAAACACGATGCCTGAAAACATCAAAATCTATATATGGAACAATCTAGTATGTAACAAGCTCCTCACTTCGTCCTAGTGCTTTATGTAGACTTTGACATCAAACCAAGTTTAATGGTGGACAGAGGTCATGACCTCAGTTCTATGTCAGATTATTATTGTCAAGGTCAGTGGTTGTATGTCATTGACCATTATGCCATGGTCATTGGTTGTGATGAACTTTATACCCTAGTGTAATGGTGGTTTGTTTGACCTTGAACCTGACATCATGGTAATTGGTCTTTGTGACCTTGACCATGATGACGTATCTTGATCCCGGTGATAAAAACGCTTTTTGATATTTGATATGCAACGATGTTCAATATGGTGGTGGACATTATTGAAAAGTGCTTTTTGTAACAAAACAAATTCATTTCGCCATTTATATAAACGTGTACAGAACTTTGTCAGCTGCGATTCCCATACATGTAATCATAGAAACATCATGCTTTAGTTGTGTGTATTCTATATAACAGTGAAATATGTTGTCAACATATACAAATTACCAGATTATGAAATACAGTATAACCTGTCTAAACCGGATGTCACCAGAACCAAACTATTTGTCTGGTTTACACATGTGTCCGGTTTATACAGTCGGCATGTCATTTTTTGAAAAAACAAAAATGTAGTGTTTTGCATACAATCTTTTTACAAGTGTGTCAACATAAACAACAGAGAAATTAATCAGATTATATAATACAAATGAAGGGCGACCCAGCATTGGATAGCGCTAATTTGTTAAGAATGTGTTTGCTTTAGATTTAGCCGGCAGAGAAATAATTTCAGGACCGGAATGAACAGGTTGTTTTTACATTGATCACTATGCCAACTTTTGTGAAACAATGCCAGTTTTCGGAATGGGCAGGGTCCGGTTATACAGGGTTTAACTGCTATGATTATATAGGGAATATGCCGGGACCACAAATTTCCGCTGGTTAAGACAGGGATCTGGATTAGACAAGGGCCGGTTTAGATAAGCTATACTGTATAATGTTTCATGGTCAGGAAATCTATATATATTGACATTTTCCTTTTTTTGAGCTGCACAACATTAAATGTTGTTAGGTTGTATTTTTTATGATGTTAACTAACACTCTGCTTTATACAGTGATTTTGTGCCATAGTTTACAGGAATAAGTTAGTCTCATTATAATTAACAAAACATTGTCAGAATATGGTTGATGAAAAAAAATGTTTTCAAAAAACAAAACCCCTACCTTCCAATTCTAATGTTCTTGCAAATGCAATTATGAATTGCCATAATGTTTTTTAGGGGATTTCAAGAGAATGTGATTCTCCAATAAAGCTTGTCGCTGATCGCCAATCTTCATATTTTTAAGTTCAAGTTGACCCCAGTATTTCAAATATTAATTCATTGTAAATTGTTTATTTTCTTAAAGCATTTAAGATCAGATGAATGAAATAAAGTATATCTCCAGTATTCAAGTATTAATAGAGTACAATTATTTATTAATTATCATTAATACTGACTTCAGATCCTCAAAAAAAGCTGCTTCTGATGCCCAAAACTATAAACTTGCCTAAGTGGTAATTCAAAAGATAGTACATTGTATTCACACCAAAAAATACTTCAAAGAATGGAAACTTTCTATTTCACCAATTTCAAGGCATTTGTCTCAGTGACTTGATCATGAGGACTTTATTCAAATGTGGTGACAATACATATGTTGGAATTATATTTTGCTGCAAATTTAATATCATTTTTCACAACATATTTATATTTTGAAGACAGCAATATGCTGTGCCTTAAAATATGTTTTTTTTTCTACTTTAAGGCTTTATCCTACAGAGAGTACACTTTGTGTTTATAATGTTTTTTCTGTTTTTATGTTATAAACTTCTCGTGGCTTTGTGGCGTATTTAGTTCAGCTCTAAATCAAAACTAGGCTAAAATGCTTTTCAGATCAGTTATAGCCTAATTGAGAACTCATTTAATGTGTCATGATTTTTATATGCAGCTTAAATTTTTATGTGCTTATTACAGAAAAAGAATTTGATATATTTCAAATATAATTGCATTTTAACCATATTTTGTAAAACTTTTAATATGCAATAGCTTATTTAATAAGGTTCTATTCTCATATTTTTGAAACATTTAGCAATGGATAACTTGATTAGATATTTTATACCAATATCTTTTACACTTGAAAACATGACAATTGTGAAAGAAAAAACCTGTCATTATTGACATCAACAGGGCCGATCAAATATGGCTCGTGACATGAATATCATATTCGAAACTAGATTTGTTGGCCGAAACACTTGTATTAATTACAGTCATATTACATGATGTCCGACACATCAGGTGTCAGTAAAGACAGGTTTTACTGAACATGATATATTCAACTGTTGGATAATGACATGATTTACGTAAATATGACCAGCACAATGTCAGATTTTTTATCAAATGGCTGTGTATATTTTTGCGTTCCATATTTTCTTCAAACTTGTTGTATTTAATTAACATTGCAATTTATTTTGTCATGCTTGCCATTGCTGCAATGCATTTTTATATACAAGTTTGTAGATGTTTAACTACATGCTTGAATTTTTCACAAGGGACCTTACAAGTGTTTGAACTAGAAAATTTGCAAAATTATTTACTGAAAAAGTTTTATATTATTTTTTATTCCATAATTTATTGGAAAAAAAATGAAGAACAAAGACGTCTACTTGAAATGTTGAGAGAAAATTTGGTGATGTTGTACTGGTAAATGTGACTTAACAATGACTATGTTTAAATGCATTGCAAACACCATTCCTGTCCAAGATGGCAGTGATGACCAGGGGAGGTAACTCTAACAGCTAAGGAAAGCTATGTAACATACACACCATAAACAATAGTTTATAGCTTTGAAACAATAATCTTTATTAAGTTGAGAAAGTTTTAGTTACACATAAAGCTAAAACTCTCATGCTTCAGTGTTAAGTATCAATACTTACTATGAAAAATGAAAAAGTATATGGTAATTTTTGCATGAACCCTTGCCTGTACATGACTGCTGTGTATTTAAGTGAACAACATGCACTTCTGAACAAACTGCTGATAATTCTTAATCTGTTGGTGATTGAATACATGTATTTCCAGTTTTAAAAACTTATGTCTGGTTGAATGTAGTTGTGAAATATGAAATATTCCCATGATTTTGTATCGTACGTGTACATGTATACAGTTGTTCTCCTGTAACTCCAAACATTTCATTTGAAGAGCAAATAATACTACAATTCAAAGATAAGTGTTTCGTGCTCAAGATTTGATATTCATCAGTGTTCAATTCTATAACGGTTGTACCAACCTATGAACGGAAAGAAAACTAAAGAGTGAACATTCTTCAGAGGATGATTTTTCGTGTCCAAACAAAATTGTCTTAAATAAGATATCGGAAATAGGCCTGTTTATATAAATCAGTTGTTTTAGATATTTTCTCTCGCTTTTAACGGATTACGTTACAGCATAGAACAAAAATACATGCGAGTGTATAAAACCTGATAATTTGGTATCAAATGGCCGATTTAGTCGACTTAGTTTTTTTGTTCTGAGGTAACAGTGGACCCTTATTTGTAAAGATACATATTGATATTTTTTAAAAAAATAAACAAGTTTGTATTTAACATAATAATTTTGATCTGTTATTCATACAGTATATGTACATCATACACACACCCACATACACTCTGAGGTTAAATGCTGCTGATCATGAGGGCCTGTTGTATTATGCAGTGAAATGGTATTTTTTAGGTTCAAATTGGATTTGTTTCCCCCAGCAGCTTTTGGGAGTGATGCCAGGGTTGGGGTGGCCCGGGTTCATCCCTCTTACATATACAAGAGGCCCAATGGGCCTGCATCGCTCACCTGGTATTAATCTCACACTTGTAATCTTAAAAGTGGACTAAAATACAGCTACAGGCATATCGGTGCTCGATTCATAAGAACCTTTTAAAAGATTTAAACATATGATGCCCGTGACCTTGAATGTCGAACAATGACATTAGGTTGAACGTGAGTCAAGGTCATTCATTTGAACAAACTTGGTAGCCTTTCATCCCAGCATGCAACAGGCCCAATATCAGTACCCTGGGCCTTTTGGTTATTGAGAAGAAGTCGTTTGAAGATTTTAAGACATCTGACCCAAGTGACCTTGAACTTGGGTCAAGGTCATTCATTTGAACAAACTTGGTAGCCTTTCATCCCAGCATGCAACAGGCCCAATATCAGTACCCTGGGCCTTTTGGTTATTGAGAAGTCGTTTGAAGATTTTAACATATTTGACCCCTGTGACCTTGAAAGCGGGTCAAGGTCATTTATTTGAACAAACTTGCTAGCCCTTGATTCCAGCATGCTACTGGCCAAATATCATCATCTTAGGCCTTTTGGTTATTGAAAAGAAGTTGTTAAAAGTTAAAAGTTGACGCTGGACAGACGGACGAGGGACACCGCACCATGGTATAAGCTCACTTGCCCTTCGGGCAGGTGAGCTAATAATGTAACCTCACGAAGGAGGCCTCTTTCCCTTCATTGTCCCTTTCTTTTTCATTTCTTCTCTCAAACTCCAAATCATTTATTCTTTCATTCTCATTCATTACAATAATAATAATATTTAATTTGATCAAAATGATATATTAAATTACCCAAACCTTTCCTTCCATTCACATTTATAAATTCATTAATATGCCAACATCCTGCTTTATTGATTTGGGATTGCTATATTTTCCGCAAATTTAAACAAGATAAACCAAATTTATGTTTTTGAAAAAGATGGGTTTTTTTTTTTTCCATGTGTAATTTGGAATAACTCAAAAAGAGATGTTAATTCTGGTATGTACTGTGACATAAGTTTGGAAACCTGCTGTGAAAGTCTACACAAAAAAATATCATCTTCATGGAATCGTGTTAAGGAAAACATCTCCATTACACCCACCCTTGCTTTTCCACTGTGTAAACATACTGCAAAAAGGTTTGAAAGCCCGAATTGCTGCTTTACTACAAATTGCTGAAATCCCTCTGAATTGGTCATTGGAAACCAAGTATATGTAAAGGGTCCCAGGGGTCTAGGTCGCGTGCCGGTCCAGGGGGTGTAACCCTATTTGAGGGATTAAACGATACGCCTGAAACCGTGCAGAATCGTTTAAATATGAAGATCAAATTTGGGTATCAATTGTTTTGCAGATAACTCCCGCCATCAATACATGTCCAAATAAATTCCATCCAGACCAGTTATTAAAACGCGCACTATACTCAACTATACATTGTACACGCACAATACAGTAATAAAAGTAATTCGGTAAATTGACTATATCTCCACGCAACTACATTTATTACCGTGAAAACGCTATGTGAAGGCTAGGGAAGCTAAGTTTTCGGTAACCCGTGTGTTAGTTCTAAAGCTAAAACACCCTTGCAAACTAACTCCCTCTGCAGTTTCCGGGGTTGTATATCAATTATGACTCCCTCAGCAATATTTGTGACTTACGCAATTACCGAGTTGGAGCCAATCGGGTTAGAAGTGGACTGAGCTTGGTATGACCACCCCACCTGCACTTTGTTATGGTCGCCATCGTGAGACAGTAGCGCAGACGAGATATAAAAAGGGTATATATATAGATTTGGATATATTTCCAGACGTTGCAGTCTGGAATCTTGCTTTTAAAAGATATCTGTGCATTTCGTTTGGGTAGAGAAAACGGTTAAAAGTATAAGGTTTTGAGGGATATAGAGAGTTTATAGTTCTTCGGATCAGGTCCCCTTCCTGGGCTGAAACCGAGGGGAAAAGACATGGTCAAAGGCGTCCAGGAATCGCACTCGCTATATCCCTCAAACCTTTTGTAGGTTAGGAGGGAGGGGAAGAGATTGGGATCGAAGGGTTAGAATTAGCCTATCAAAATCTGTGCAGTGTCGACTTTCTTGCGTCAGAATTAGAATCATTATTCACTTCCGAGTCAACTTTTATTATGACGTATATCGAGAAGTGACCTGGAACTTAAACAAATTTTAAAGAATTTCGTACATAAGAGAGAACATTAAATTATGTATTCAAAATTTCTTGGGGACACCCACAACACACTTGGCTACAGTTTGAGATAAAGTGGCTTCCTCTTCTTCTTTGATGTAAGGATATGCCTTCGTTAATGAATCGGAGCTTATATGTCCTGCTTTTTTCTTTTTTTTTTTTTTTTTTTTTTAAAAAAAAAAAATTTGCAANTGCAAGAAAAATAGCATGGCACTTTAGGGAACTGAGTGGAAGAGTCTAGAGTTAAATTCTTGCACCGTGGCCAGTATCGTAGCGTCCATAAAAACATCCACGTGTGCCATGTGTGTCATATTTCATAACAGTACTTAACCATTATGTCATCAAGATAATATCGTAGTTGTTTTTGATTATTGACTAAATACTAATAATGCTATGGCATCCTTGCCGGAATATCTCGGATGCCATGTTCGTTTTTGACACATATGTACTTCCAATCGTTTATCGCACCGGACAGGTGTTATGTTGTGGCCCAGTGAATCAAAATATCAAATTAAGAAATGAAGAAAGCAGCTAGCATATACTTAAAACGTAAAAATTGTAAAAATACTATCATGAATTGTCACTCTTTAACTTTTTATGTTCTGGCCTTAACCTTTCTCTGAGACAAGTCATATTTTTTTCCGGAATAAGTATAGCCACATATATTTTCATTCTGATGAAGAGTTATACAAATTCTGTATCATATTAAGAACGAAATACCCGAAATAAAGCCGGAAGAGGTCGAGTTGTCTCCTGAGAAACGCATGCGGCAAGTATATTATCGCCTTTTACGTGTTCAAATAAAGATATATAAGATATCTTATATCTTTTATAAGATATCTCAATTAATTTTCTTTATAAGATATCTTATAAAAGATATAAGATATCTTATATAATATAAAAGATATCTTATAAAGAAAGGTTTATGAGATATCTTATATAATATATAAGATATCTTATATCTTTTATAAGATATCTCAATTAATTTTCTTTATAAGATATCTTATAAAAGATATAAGATATCTTATTTAATATAAAAGATATCTTATAAAGAAAGGTTTATGAGATATCTTATAAAGATCGAGACTCTCGCGAGACCGACACAGAAGAAATGTTTGAAAATGACTGCTCCCGTTGTAAGTTCACATCCGTTTTCGTTGGCGATAATTTGGCTAAGTACTGGATCAACATTGCTCCATGAATAAATGACAACTTGGCTGGCCATAATTATATATAGTTTCAATTTGATAACTAGTCCCATTGTCATCGGCTCTCATTTTCGATCAAATCCTCTCGGACACCCTAGGTTATCGATATAGGTTTCGAGCGCTGTGGGGGAGAGTTTATTATCTCAAATTCAAATCTCGTTCCTTATAAGATATCTTATAACCGAATTATATAAGATATCTCATTTAATTTTATTTAAAAGATATCTTATATATTAATTTATCTTATATAATATATAAGTTATCTCTTCTTTTTTTATAAGATATCATATCTTTTATGAGATATCTTATATAATATATAATATATCTTATAAAGTATATAAGATATCTCATAACGTATATAAGATATCTTATATAATTTGTTAAGTACTGGATCAACAATGCTCCATGAATAAATGACAACTTGGCTTACCATAGGCTTGCGTTCCGTATCTCAGTGCGCGCTTTTTAATTTAACCGGTCTAGAAAGAGTTGAGTGCGTTTGTATAACTGGACTAGAACTGCAATATATAGAAATACATTTATGTGATGCACAAATGAAAATCAGGATATTTGTTTATATTACATACATATATTAAAGCAACGAATATACTTGTAATCCATCACGCACACTTTTCACCAGTAACCTTATTTCGTAAAGTGTGTGTATGACCGTCTACCAGCTAGGTATATTGAAAACAAGGTAAAATGCTTGTAAAAGGAAAGGGCAAATGTAATAGTCCAGACAGGGATTTGAATCTGGGACCTCCGAACTCTTAGACTATAGGCGGCTCTACCTTGTCGGCGATTGACCTAGTCCAGTTCCACTACATGTACTTAATACAAAAATCATACATGTGATTCAAATTATCTACGGTGTATACAATTGATGAACCTCAACTATTGAATAAAGGAAATAACAGGATGCAGTGAGCAACGAAGGTGGTGCAGAGTCCGGGAGAAATTGTAGCTAATTTTGATATAGTGTACATTCTGACTCTCTCTACAAAACAATATATGATAAAGGCGAGTACTCCAGGCTATATGAATATATGCAATGCATGTAACTAGGGCCGCTTTCGTTTATTGCGATCCAAAAGGTTGAACCGGTTGGACCAGAATGGTTCGTTTATGAAATAAGGTCGGACCTAGTAATCCGATGCTGTTTTCAGTTGGGCCTTCACAAAGCCTTGCAAGGCCTGCAACTATTAGATTTAGAAACAGACGAGCCGGTTGTTCCGCATAAACAAACAGACCCCTACAGGATTTAAAGGTGACAGTTTAATATCGTTTGGTTTGTTCCCATGTAGGAACAACAATGCCATCTAGGATGGCCCAATTGGTACAAATACAATACAAATAGCCGCACACATAGTCCACTTCACCAAGAATATGCCAATTTTAGTCTTTTTTAAATTTTCATTCACATAATAGACACAAATTACAATATAAGTTGAAAATATCAGCCTTGTCCTTGGTACAGTACGTTACTATATATTGCTACCATGTGAGTGACACTTTTCGAGGCACCCAACTTCCGTTCCGTGACGGGCAAGCTCCACGTCACTAGAGTAAATATAATGCTCTTTTAGCTCTATTGCATGTCATTGGCCTTGCGTAGCTGCAGCTTAATCGTCACCCGACAAGCCAAGTACCGGATGTTGCGTCATCTTCAGTCAGGTACGACGTCAAACAGTATAGCGCGTCAAATTGTACACAAAGTAGTCCATGGCGTACATCATGTTAGGCGTGATGTAATGGAAGGATATCGCTGTGCGAATGCAACCCTGGAAAGAAAATATTTAAAAAAAGAGGTAGCGAGTATAAACTTTATTTAATTATATTATCCATACAAGTGTGGCATAGATTAATTGACTTAACATTCGGTCGCCTGTTACTTTCGCGCATCCTCGCTATCAAGGGGTTACGCTCACTTTCGCTCTCTGTAGTGTAGAGCGCGAAAATGAGCGTAACCCCTGGATATCGAGGATGACTTTCGAGCTAGTGGAATTTCCCTTTATTTAATTAGCTCACACACGCAGTAGAGCATCCGACTAGAAAGTCTGGGTTCGCGGGTTCGATCCCCGGTGGAAGCACGTTACACTACCATCTTGCCTGTTACACAAGTATAATTTTCTTTTGCCTTTTCCCCCAATGTTAGACTTTTTCATGTTATATCGTATTACCTAAAAATCAGACACAGCAAACAATGATGACGTCATAAACCCAAATGTTTGGCGCGGTATTTGTAATTTGTGCAAAGTGCAAACAGTTTTTTCGGTATATATACTGTATGAACCCAAAAATAATCCCGGTTATTCATTAAATATGCTAAAGGATCCGGAAACAAGATTCAAAAATTAAATAGATCTGTTTCTTTATGATGACAAATCATTTGTATAATGGACAATATTCGCTGTAACTTTATTTGTATTGGGGGGGGGGGCAGAGATGTTTGGGCGGGCTTCAAATAGGCAAAAATTCTGCATTGTAAACTTGAAAGAGAGTGTAAGAGCCAATAACATTCTAAATATGAACCAGAGCGCTTCTACATTTTACACTTTCAGCGCTAGCACAGGGCCTTAAGCTTCCTCTGTTGACGTCGCGAGCAATATACAGACATAAGAATTCAAACAAATATTTTCAAAATGCACTGATCCATTTCTGCCAGTAAAATAAAGTAAATACAAGATTCCATATATTTCTTTACTTGTATTTTACCAGCTATATACGCGCCCGTTGCGCCCCCTCTAACTGAAAATCCAGGATCAGCCCGTGGGCTCGGACCAGATTTGTGACTTCCTGAAATGCCTACCTGTAAGTGTGGGTAATAGATGTGAGACCAGTACCAGCTATTTTTTCGGAATATTTCCCCGTACGATATGGTCTTCTGGTCGTAGTGGAAAAAATCTCTCCTTTCCTTCCGAGTCCCGTGTATCTCCAGCCTTCACTCCCACCATTTCCAGGCAATGGCCAAGCTGAACATCCTCGCCGATAAATGTTGTGGGTTCGCATTTAGAGTTCAGATAGGAAGTAGTAGAATTTCCGTACTGTACTAGAGATCGAACCGCCTGTCGACTAAGCACATAGCCTGCCCCACCACTCATAAAGCCTTGTTTTACAAAAGGTTTAAACCTCCGTCCAAAATAAATGGCTTCATTCTGGTCTTTGTCGCGGAGAAAATGACGTAAATTTTCTACAATGACGTAGGTATCATCGTCGGCTTTCAGGAACCAATCATAATTGTTTAGATGCGAAGAGTAAATATGTAAAATGCTTCTTTTGTTTTTTGCCATAAATATTCTCGACCTTCCTTGACCGGAAGTTCGACAACCGGAAGATGTTTTGCCTTGACTTGTGTTCCATTAGAGCCCATGAACAAGCGTTTACCCCACGTGTTTTGTACATGTGTCGCCTTGGATACGACCGTCAGGGGTGACGTCATTATCCAGCAAAGTAGCCGTCCTCCTGAAGAAGAAGAGTCTAGACTGAATAAAATTGCCAACATATACTACAAAGAACTATCAACACACTACATAGAGCGATCAATATGAAATACATGGGACATTCCACAAAATACATATGTACTACACATACTATACTAGCAAAAAAAGGAACTGTGAATGCTTAAAATGTGTTATAAAAATAAATGTGTATGACGTAGAACAACAAGGTTTTCAGGGACAATTTATTAACAGGTGCATTCCATTTTCCACGTTATGGAATCAATAAGTTCCGTTCAGGAGTGACGTAAACACAGCAGGGGTCAATACTGAGTTCACAAAGTTTTATTAAAGTGTTGCCTTTTAGACTTAGCGCCCATTTTTTTATATTCCTTTTTCTTACTAATAAGAACAGCATAAGTAGTATGACTTTTGTTACAATTAAAACTATGCAGTGCATCCAAATACTGCTTACGCATTTTTTTTACATGATCATTAAACCAGGGTTTATTATCTCTACTGGCACAGTAACATTTACATTAACAGTGGGCGTGCCATGTGACAGTTCTGTTAGCAAACTCCATAATGATCATAACAAGATGTCAAACAGTAAGAAGGAGATGGATACCAATCTATCCGGAGTATCTAATTTATTCTATGGTCTCAATACTGATGTCAAGAACAATTCGAAAGATGTAAGTGATTTAAAGAAGAAGGTTTCAGTAGTCAAGGAGAGTATTAACTCATTACCCCCACCTGACAATAGTGGTGAAAACCTCAGGATGGAGCTCACAGACCTTAAATGTAGGTTAATGAGACAGAACCTCTTATTTTATGGAATCCCAGAGGATGAGGAGGAGGAGGAGGAGGAGGACTGTGAGGGGCTAGTTACCACCTTCATACACAATAAGATGTAGGTCACGGCAGATATATAGTTTGATCGGGTGCATCGGATAGGTCCAAAGCGTAACTCACATCATGACAGAAGGAACGAGGACTCGAACTTCGACCCAGGACCAAGTGCGCGAGTTAGAGATCAGGAAGGGAAACCTAGGACCATTGTTGCGCGTTTCACTTATTTCAAGGAACGTAAACTTGTGCGGAAGGCTGCTCCGAAGTCCCTTAAAGGGCTTTCATACCGTGTATATGAACATGTACAATACCCAGCAGAGATAGAGCAAACAAGGAGACTGCTATACCCAGAGTTTAGGAGGGCTCGCAAAAACGGACAGAAAGTTTGTCTCGTGAAGGACAGACTGTTCATAAACGGGAAGGAGTTCACCCCCCCCCCCGCCCCACTTTTTTTTTACGAACATATGATATTGTTTGTTTATCAGAATGTTGATTGAAAAGGATGTAGATATACCGATCGCAGATTTCACATGTAAATATATATAAAGGTCTCTTTCGAGACATAAACAGGGAAATGGAATGGCAATTTTCATAACAAAAAACAATCTTGTTTATGATAAAAGTATAGTCAATATAAAACATGATACAATTGTATGGCTTAAAATGGATCATTCTATTACGGAGTGTAAAAGTGATGTTTATGCTTGTTGTACCTACACTACACACCGCGTGGAGGCATACGATCCCCACGTTTCGCGGTGGTGTTCTATAGTTTGGAGGGGAGGTATAAAAAAGTCAAACTGGGAAATGAGGATGTTACGACACGATTTCTCACCCCAAGAGATCGTGCTAAAATTGCTACGTTCGCAACACGATTTCTCACCCCAACACGATTTCTCACACGAAACTCGTGTTAGGAGTAGGCATATTATCCGTGATATTACTTTTCAGTGCAGCAGCTGGTATGGAGAGCTCTCAAGCATTTGTAATGTTTTTTTATTTTGCCCTCTTGTAATCATAAATACCAATATAGTTCACGAAAATTTGGATAGATACACATTCAACGAAACATTCAAGTCATGACACATGGTTTGAAACATGTACATGCAATGTAAATTTTACATTTCTGTATACGTGTATGCGTAATCTAAGTTGACAATGCGCGCAAACAACAAGTCTCCGAAAAAGATACAATGTTGTACACTGCTTCTGAAATCAAGGACGACACCGACCTCAAACGTTCTATCGACCAATCGACGAGCTAGATGCAGTGAGAAACAACCGTTCGGTTTGTGGGCGTGTTCTTTTTGAACATGGCTTGTTGACGCCGTGACAATTTTGATTGTAACACATCTTGAACGATAATATCAATCGGTCATAAATACATTATAACCTGTCTAAACCGGATGTCACCGGGACCAAACTTTCTGGCCGTTTTACATAGGTGTCCGGTTTATACAGGGTCGGCATTTTTTGAATACAATTGTGTCAACATAATCAACAGAGAAATGAATCAATAACAACGTATGTACCCCCAGATAAATCATTTTGTTATCGACAATATAATTGCAACATATTCTATGTTCGATCAAGGGCAAAGTGTTGGTGGTTGGTGATGTTAATAGTAGGTGTTCTACGGTAGACGACTTCATTAGATAAGATTCTAAAATGAATGGTGTGATTAACACACCTTCATTTACTAATTATATAGCTGATGTGGATCTACCTTCAAGGATAAACCCTGATTTGGTTGTGAATTCGTATGGTCTGAAACATATACAACTATGAATAGAGTCCGGGTTACGTATTCTAAATGGCAGACATCCGGGTATGTTTGGGAATGATTTCACATACTGTGGTCCTAAAGGGTATAGTGTTATAGATTATAGATTGACGACCTCTGACATGTTACAAAATTTATCATTTGTAGTTTTAATGCATACTCGGACCATGCGCCATTGCATTTTGAACTTAAACCCAAAGTTAATTAAATCGAAGAGACCACTGAGAAAGATATTAATAGAACAGTAACTCAGTAATGTAGATGAGCTGAACAAATGTATTCATCATTTTGATTTGAGTACCCATTCTGGTGTCGATGATAGTTTTGCGTTCCTGGCAGAGAAACATAATAATTTGATGTCAAATCTACACAAAGAAATCACATGTTACAGGTGTTAGCAGTACACGTACTTAAGACTCGTCGTCCTCAAGGATTGACAAACCATGGTTTGACAATCATTGTAGAACATTTTATAAAAGTTATATGATTGCGTTAAAAACAAAAATTCACAAATCCAATGAAAACCATATTAAGCTATGTACTTATAAAAGAATGCATAAGAAGACTGAATCAAATCTTAATATTTGTCTGCTCAATGTGACATGATTTAAGACATCCGCATTAACAATCCAAAGTTGTTTTATTCTAATTTGGGGGAAAATAAGCACCTTCTTTATATATTGGTACATGTACATTTATAATTAATAAGGGGCGTCGCCCCAGAAAAAAATGTGAGAATTTTCGCGGTTAAATTGTTGTATGCTATGAATGTTTATCCTTCTGTGATCAGCACATACACATATAATATTATATAGGGTGGTCGGGTGGTACAGCGGATATATAGCGCACTTGCCTTTCACCAAGGCGACCGGGGTTCGGTTCCCCGATCTGACGTGAAAAGGTATGGACCGGGACCGTTAAATGACTAGAGGGAACTGTTTAAAAAAGTTTTAAGCTTAAACATATTTTATTGCAATATAATTACAAAAGCATTGGGCACAAGTAATTGCAACTTATAAACGCCCTTTACAAATATAAATAGGAGAGAGAGAGAGAGACGAAAAAAATACATTCATCAGAATCCACCTTATTGCGGTAATAAAATCATTCTCTCTTACGATTGAACCACATGCATGGGGGAGGGGGGGGGGCAATTTTTTTACCTCAGTCTGTCATACTCTGGTGATTCAGTGTGGCCGATGGTCCGTGACGGTTGAATTTTCATGTATTCGGTACACGCGGAAGAGATATATATGAATATGAAACGACAGGCTCTACACGTTGTGTTTTCACAGCGAGTCTTTCTCGTTTTATGTTTCCTTTTTGTGTACGCGCTTGTGGCTTATACCGATTTATATAAGGACGCCATACACGTGATACAGACACGAACACACACAACAACGAGTTGGTCAGCCACTACTAAACCCGACAGGTCCACCGCTACGACAGGTAGGAAATACCACTCTTTCTGTTATCATATGTGACATTTCCTTTTCTCCCACACTTCACCGGTGCATCACCGTTTTTGCTGGAGATAGGTAATTAATCTGTCTTTATGTATCTTGCGAAAGCCAACTTACACGAGCTATTTTTCTGAAAACGTCCTCGTGCTGAACTCAAAACCTTAACATTGGGTCGAGATTTCTCTGTGTTCATCACACAGGATTGGTAGATTCTATTATTTTCCGACGCCTCTCAGGTGTATTACCATTTTGCTAGTGAAACGATAAACATGCCTTTGCCTGGGAAAATAAAATTAAATAAGAGGAGTGCAATATGTATCATGTAGAGAGTTCAATGTGTTATGTAGAGTGTTCAATGTGTTATGTAGAGTGTTCAATGTATTATGTAGAGTGTTCAATGTTCAATGTATTATGTAGAGTGTTCAATGCGTTATGTAGAGTGTTCAATATGTTATGTAGAGTGTTCAATGTATTGTGTAGAGTGTTCAATGTATTATGTAGAGTGTTCAATGTATTATGTAGAGTGTTCAATGTGTCATGTAGAGTGTTCAATGTATTATGTGGAGTGGTTATCTATCAAGTAATGATCAATGAACATAATGTGGAGTGTTCTACCTGTCAGGTAGAGTGATCAAGGTATCATGTGGAGTGTTCTATATAGTATTTATAACTCTCAATGTACCATGTGGAGTGTTCTACCTGTCAAGTAGAGTGTTCAACGTACAATGTGGATGCTCTATGAATTTAAAACTATCAATGTATATAATGTGGAGTGTGTCGTGTATTATTTAGAACTACTAATGTATATAATGTGGAGTGTGACGTATTATTTAGAACTACTTATGTATATAATGTGGAGTGTGTCGTGTATTATTTAGAACTACTAATGCATATAATGTGGAGTGTGTCGTGTTTATTTAGAACTACTAATGGATATAATGTGGAGTGTGACGTATTATTTAGAACTTCTTATGTATATAATGTGGAGTGTGTCGTATATTATTTAGAACTACTAATGTATATAATGTGCAGTGTGTCCTGTGTTATTTAGAACTACTAATGTATATAAGGTGGAGTGTGTCGTGTGTTATTTAGAACTACTAATGTATATAATGTGTAGTGTGTCGTGTGGTATTTAGAACTACGAATGTATATAATGTGGAGTGTGTCGTGTTTATGTAGAACTACTAATGTAAATAATGTGGAGTGTGTCGTGTGTTATTTAGAACTACTAATCTATGTAATGTGGAGTGTGTCGTGTATTATTTAGAACTACTACTGTATATAATGTGGAGTGTGTCGTGTTTATGTAGAACTACTAATGTAAATAATGTGGAGTGTGTCGTGTGTTATTTAGAACTACTAATGTATGTAATGTGGAGGGTGTCGTGTATTATTTAGAACTACTAATGAATATAATGTGGAGTGTGACGTGTATTATTTAGAACTCCTAATGTATATAATGTGGAGTGTGTCGTGTAATATTTAGAACTACTAATGTTGTATATAATGTGGAGTGTGTCGTGTTTATTTAGAACTACTAATGTATATAATGTGCAGTGTGTCCTGTGTTATTTAGAACTACTAATGTATATAATGTGCAGTGTGTCCTGTGTTATTTAGAACTACTAATGGATATAATGTGGAGTGTGACGTATTATTTAGAACTTCTTATGTATATAATGTGGAGTGTGTCGTATATTATTTAGAACTACTAATGTATATAATGTGTAGTGTGTCGTGTGGTATTTAGAACTACGAATGTATATAATGTGGAG